TTTTATTTATTTACTTTTTCCCATTAATGTTCTTCCTATTACATAGGAGATTAAAATCCCTTATGTGATAGTTTGGAGGTGACAGGTTCTCTTTATGGAACCTGCCCTCCAACACAGAACAGCAGTTCTGTGTAGTTCCTAACAGCCGAGACAGGTGGCGCTGTGATTACAGCGCCACGGTCTCAGAGAATACACAGAGAGCCCGTAGAGCAGACGTTTTTCGTCTGCTCTATGGCTGAGCCGTTGTGCCTTAGTTTTCGGGGGTCCCCCGGGAGAGCAGGCGACCCCGAAAACTACGGCAGGGGGTGCGGGCAGAAACGGTCGCCGCTGCTCAAATTAATACAAGTGATCTGATCAGACCACTTGTATTAAACGAGCAGCGGCGGCTCCACAATGTACATTCAGCTCTGTTTTTTTTTTTTTTTTTTTTTTTTTTTTTTTACTTTATATAGTACAATAAAAAAGAAAACAAGCAGTTATCAAATACCACTAAAAGAAAGCTCCATTTGCCCTGAAAAATTATATAAAATAATTCTGTTTAGTATTGTGTAACAAAGGAATTCTCATTCTATTTTTCCATTACAACAGAATCTTTGCAGCTTCTCAGCTTTCTACTGTAAACAACCAGCGGGTGTTTCTAAAGCTGGCCATACACTGAAAAAGGGAGTGCCGCTGATTGACTGACGGCAGTCACTGTATTTGTGGACCAGCTCCGTTGAGAAATGTCTATTTTTTTAAATCAACTTTTGTCAAATAGAGGAGTGCAAATGCTTCCACTCACTGCTTGAATTTGATGTGATTACTTTTAATATTGAACAAAGGGAAGTGTACTGGAAGGGCTAGAACCCATAAACTTCAGAAGGGCCAACTTTGATAAGCTGCGCAACCTAGTGGGGGAAATAAAATGGGAAAACTTATTTCAAAACCTAAACACAGACCAGATGTGGGATTGTTTTAAAAACACACTACATACTGCTACTTCAAAGTGTATACCATTAGGGAGCAAAAGCAAAAGATCAAAGACTAAACCAATATGGTTTAATAAAACTGTAAAACAACA